AAAATTGTTGAGAGATATGCCAAGCTCTTTTAATCTTTCCATATGATAATGGTTGGGTAGTAAACTATATGCTTTATTGCCCATCAAAATTTTGTCTCAGCATTTGACTTAATTGCATGGAAGTGGGTTAATCATATATAGTTCAGTTCTAAAATTATTCAACTATTCTTTCAAAAAACGCCCATAAGAGAATATAGCTAAAATGAAAGTGAGAATGATGAATCAGCTTACAAATCCTGTGTTTTACTCGAGGATAAATCAATTTACATGGATATTTCAAGATTCATTGAAAGATAAGACCTTATAACAGAAGCTGAAAAAGATTTTGAAATACCGTTTATGTATCATAAATCCATTGAAGTCAGTGACACAACTGATTTCAGTGATGCATACTTTTTACTTCATAATGGAGAAGGCTTGGTAATAATATTGCATGAGATGAGTATGGAAAGGCATGAATTTTCAAAAAGTGATTCTTAAAAGAAACTTGAAATAGTCCAACTCTAAATGCCTACGTATGAAAAAAATGAAGGATATAAGATTGTAGTTTCAGCTAACTAGGCATTCTCAGTTCATCTTTTGTTAAAGCGAGATAAGATTTATATAACAAAAGAATTCGATATTAATGTATCTAATCAACAGTCAAAGCCATTTTCTGACTTTCATTCAGCATTTACACTTGATATCGAGAACCACATTGTTTTATTCAACAAACAGCATGCCCTTATATTGGATCTTAAAAATCGTCAAGTTAATTAAGTATATGACATAAACTGCTAAGGATTTATCCTTTTCAATCTCATTATTAACTATGCAGTCTGCTATGAATCACCTATTTCTCCTTCTTAAGGACTTAAAATGATAGATGCCATTGCCTTATCTGAATCTAATGAGATTAAAATGCTTTTACTAAAAGAGGAAGATATTGGAGCTTATTCAAATATCTACTTTGACTCAGATATTTCTAGAATTTGTTTCATGTAGTCCGTTCACCATATTATTATTACTCCTTACATGCACACTAACATTAATAAATTTATGGGAATGGGAAACCCAGCAGAATATCTATTTCATAAAGTAAGAGATCATAAAATGATGGCTTTAAGAAAAAACGGTGAGGTAGTAACTTGGAACATATGTAATGGAAAATATCTAAGCTCATTTTTGCTAAAATAGAAATAGTATGACTATAATGAGTACGATTACTATACACACAGTAATGATAGATTAATTTTAATATCGAAGACAGAAATAAAGAACTGTAATGATGAATGGTTTTTCAATAAAACTTAATTAGCTACATCATTCGATGAATAGATTCCAGTAATCAAGGCAACAACTCAT